CAAAGTAAACATAATAGAATTACAGAAAGGAATAGGATAAAAACTAGTTGACTGAATCAACTGAAAGAAAGAGAACTTTCTATTTAATACAAACAGCATAGATAAAAACATAATGAAGCATTTGGTCAGTATGTGTAATATTTTGACTAAAGGTCAAATATTGAGTAATACAGCATAGAAGCTTGAAGTTCAGGGGCAAAGAATATCAAACCTGACTCTGACAAATTGGTTGATTCTAGAGAAGGGGAGTTGCAAAATGCATACCTTAGTGTGAAGATAGTTTTAAAAGACAAAATAGAGAAAAGAAAACCAAGAGGAAGTGCCCTTTTGGAAGCCCATGATTCAGAACTGAGATGAAAGTACAGTAGAAGTTGGTGGAATCAATCAAAGAGGCAATATTTTAAAAGAAGTTTATATATTCTAAACACATTTTGAATTTAAGGAAGGAAACTAAAAGAAAAAATAAGAGTCTCAAGAACTCAGAGAAGTGATATACCAATTTAAATGTGGTAAAATTGAAAAGGAGAATTCATATGGTAGAAGTTATAGGGTTCAGTTAAAACATGTTAAGCATGAGGTAATGGTGAGCCATGTAAGAGGTAATTTACAGAGTTGGATGGAGAAATACTGAGGGAGAATTTATGACTGCAAGTTGAGAATTTTGTAATCATCAGCATAAAGGTTAGGCCATGAGTATTTTAGATGATTAAAGAGGAAGGAACAATCTGAAAGCTGAGAACAAGTCATGGGAGATGCCCTTTAAGTGGGGAAGAAAGTACAGAAGCAGGAGTGCACACTACAAAAATTAAAGAGAAGATATTGTTTGATAATAATGTTATTAGAAGTTCAAAATTGATTTAAAAACCGACTTGAAGGAATCTGAATTAAAAAAGAAGATTTTAAATGTCCATTATTTCCAAAAAATTGTACTGGAGATTGGAGGAGACATAAAGATAAATCCAAAACTGTATTTGCCTGTGTTAGTTTTAGAATCTAATAGAAAAGAGGAGAAATGTATGTGCATGAATTTATAGTGAAAAAATCAGATTTTGATAAGTACAACTTGAAATTCTCAGTGCTGCAGATGATGGAGGCAAGAGAAAGATATCAATGCTATTCAAATAAATACTCTGTCTACAAAGAAAAACCTTGCTTGGGGAGATAACCTGAAATACAGTATATTGCATCACAAGACAGTTATTTCTTTCTCATTCATGATCTATAGGAAAACAGTTCAAGACTGGTTGGGCAGCTTTATTATCCTCAGCACAGGGCTTCCAATACTTCTCTATGCCTCATGTGTCCTAAAGAAGCAGAAAAAGAGATTATAGGGAAAATACCTAAAAAAGCATCCTCGGAAAGTTGCCTTCTGTCCATATTTCAAAACTCAAATTGAATTGCTTAACAAAAGAAGGTAGAAAGAATAGGTTTAGGTAAGCAACAATGTTCTCAGTAAAACTCAGGGAGAAAAGTGAATAAGGAGGGTGGGCATCAGTTTCTGTTACAGATATCCTCTAAGAGAGAGAAGCACAAAAGCTATGTTTATATGATGCTACTGGGTGGAACTGCAGGAGAGATGTACAATCTGAGGATCTGTGGAGTGTATATTAGGGAATTACAAGCTGAATGACATGAGAAAATGAATTGGTAAAAATAAATATAGACTTTTTTTGGAAAAGTGGCTAATAGCTGAACTGAGAGGAGAATAGGATTTGCAAGAAAAAGTACATAATATTGGATATATGGTCCTAATATTTTGGAATGAAATGTAAAGATATCATTAATTCCACACTTAAGTCTAGATGATTTTTCTATTTATTATGGAAATGACTGAAGACTTATTTTTAATAGATTTGTGATATTGTCGGAATTTAGAAGTTAAAATTTTGCAATAAACAGAGGAAAGTCTAATTAGGATAGCATTGCTACACGATATGACAACCTATAATGTCAATGGGATAGATGGAGAAAGAGACATTCTGGAGGTATACTGATATAATTTGGCAACTGTTTGAAGTTTAGGCTTGTGAGGTAAAAGAATGTGAACAACTAAAGATAACTCACTGGGTGTTCAGCATAAGCAAGCTAAGGGCTAGTGGCAAGATTACTGCAATTGTTCACAGATGCTGGATTTGATGTTTTTAGCACATGGGGAGGCAATAAATAGGGAAGGATGAGGGAAAGAAATTATGAATTAATATTGGACCTATCACTTTTGAAAAGTCAAATTATTGAAAATGCACTTTAGGTCAAGAAAGTGATTAGGGTTAAAATACATAGATTTGAAGCAATTCAAATAATTTTATGAGAAGAAAAATATTAATTTGGAAGGCAATAGAATTTTTATGTATCTGGGTTAAACCCAAGGGTGCTTAACCACAGAATGACATCCCCAACCGTTTTTATTTTTTGATACAGGATCTCACTAAGTTGCTTACGCCCTCACCTAATAGAAGGTTTAAAAGTGAATCTGAAGGAATTGGAAGGTGAAAACAGATACTGAAAAAAAAAATTGTTGGAAATAAAGAGGATAGAGTTAAGAGGAATAGTTAATCTTGGAAGGATGAAGGGATTTAGTTTAGAAAGAAATGAAGGATGGTACTAGAGCTATGCTGACAAAAGTGAAGAAAAGGAAGCATACCATGGAGAAAGGAGTACAGGGCTAGGGAGTGAGTGTGTGCTAGAGGTGTTTCTTGGAAGTGGGAATTTGAGAAGAAAAGAAGTGACTTACATTTCTACCATTAGAAGACTGTTAGTGAGTCAAAACAAAACAAAGAACAGTTTCCCAAGTATTACCAGGAGGAGCAAATTAGAACCTCAATTTATACATTTTTGTTGGCTAGGTTTGCATCTTTGGAGACTTAGTCATCTGAATCCCTGAAGTCTAAGGGAGAAAAGCCAGAAAAAATAAGAGGTGAATGTAGAGGTTCCTCCTTCTTTCCCTCTCTCCCTTTCTTCTTTCTTTCCTTTCTTCTTTGTTATTTTCTTCTAATATATGTATGGAAAGGCAATCAGACCCTAGATTTGTATATTATCACCTCCCCAACATGGCCACCACACCACTCTCCCCTCATTTAGTAGAATCCCTTAACTTGTCTATATAAAACCCAAGGGCTCATGGAACTCTGAGATAACTAGTAATCTCAGTCAGCCAAATTATACAGTTCTGACCCGGTAGATATATTTCTAAGATCTGTCTTGGGATATAGCTAAATGTAGCTCTTAGAGACCAGCTTTATGTTTATAGTTCATACTTTTCAAGAAGAGTATGTTTTAAAAAAAATAAACTTAGAATTTCAATATGGGAACTGTAAGTGAAATCACATTTATTGAAAAATATTATTGTTCCATGTATTAAGCAATTGCAATCTACAGAAACTATAATAATTCAAAGAAACCTTACAATTATTACTAGTTAGGCCTTACTACTATTCTCATTTTTGAGGTGGGGGAACCAAGGGCATGTAGTTATGAGGGTAGAGATGTACGGAGCCCATAATCTTCTACTAGATTACATTGCCTCCCATGAATAATGAATTTTTAGATAATTTAAAATTCTAATATTTAAAAGAAAACATCATTGTTTAAAGACTGATGGCCAACATTCTGATTCCAGGAAATATTTTTTAAAATGTGTACAAACTGTCTTCACTTGCATAAAAGGAGGGAATTGAAATAAAAATATCTACAACCAAAGCTACTTATATTTTAGACAGACACAACGAATCAGATCAGAGTGTTTAATTACTATTCAATGAACCTTTCTATTCAGTGTGTCAGTTTAACTTAGGGAACCAAACAAAACACTTCTTTGTTTGTCAAGGATAGGCAATTAAAGCAAGGGTATTCTAAAATTACATTAGAAAGATGAAAATGGTTTGTTTGATCTTGGAATTCTAATATATCAGAAAATTATTGTGAAGAAAATTGGGCTCTCTGAAGTGACAGATACATTATTCAAATAACTTTGATTGAATGTAAGATTTTTTAATGCTTTCATAAATGGCACATATACTAATTTGTTTTATAAAAGAGTGGCTTTAAATTTTGAGATATTGGGGAAAATATATTGTTGGTTTAGTAATTAGAATGAGTATATTTAATTATGGGGATGGCGTTTTGAATAGTTCTATTAATTGATAAATATATCTGGATTATATTAGCATAAATTAATTTATGTGAGCAGTTGACAATTTGAAAAGTTCTCAATTTGAATATATGAAAGATGTTCATAATATTTCTAAAACCATCTGTAACTGACCTTGAGATTAGATTTGATTTTCTTTATCTTAAAAAAGTGATTCAAATGAATTATATATCTGAAGCCAAATAAGTGGAAAACAGACAGCCTCAGTATGCATTCCTGCTTCTAACACTGCTTTGATATCATGCCTATTGGTGTGTGATCTGAGATCTGAAATGATCTCAGAAGCATGTTATTCAGAGTTGAGTTTGTTACACATCAAGACATAAACCCACAATACTATTTTCTTAGGTATGCAAATATACATTGATTATTTGACTCTTGGTCACATTGGTGGTTTCTATTATATGATAACAAACTCAAGATGATTTTCTAGTTTTTCTCCTGTCTTTAACAATTTTTTCACAATCTTAAAAAATGTGTTCCTTTCATAGCTGTTTATTTTCTACTTTAATGATTCTCTAGGTTTTTAAAAAAATTTTTTAAAAACTTCTGTGCATGAAAAAGACTGGGTCTTAAAAATACTGTTGATGTATTGATAAACATATTTTATTCTCACAAGTAAAATAGAGTAAAGAAATGCCATTTGTTATCTTAATATGGAAATAACTGATAAGGGCAGGGGTATTTAAAATCTAACACTTGCTGTCATACATATGCAATCTTAGTATAAGAATGCCTTTCTGATTTCTATTTAATCTTATCTGTCTTTTTGTTTCTCTTACAGCAAAAGTGCTGGATAGAATTTCTTCTCACTGCAATTTAAATATATTCTTTTTTCTGTCAATTACCACAGGTTTAGTCCCTATGAGTGGTATAATCCACACCCTTGCAATCCTGACTCAGACGTGGTGGAAAACAATTTTACCTTGCTAAATAGTTTCTGGTTTGGAGTTGGAGCTCTCATGCAGCAAGGTATACGATTCAGCCTGCTATTTCCTTTGGGCACCATGTCCCACTCTTTGCTGGGGGTGACAGCTCTTGCTGGCACAAGTCGCTTGCATGGGTGCCTCTGTGCATGTAACCATAATCCAGCTTTTCCATCTACCTAATGCATTTAGGCCTTCTCAAATCCCATCCAAGAGAGATTCTGAGAAACAATTAGCTTTTGCAAATTCACATGGAGTATACTCATCTAATTTTTTTTTCTTAACCCACAGTAGGTATATCACTTCATAGATAACCAAGCTAACCTGATTCATTAGCCAGAAGCTGCATTTAAAGTACTACTAAAATTACATCTCCTTGAGACAAGAATACAGTTCAATACTCCTGTTTCCTGTCTCATTTTGATGTAAAAAATGTCTCCTCTTTCATATTAATTCCTGTTGATTAGATGCATTTATATTGCATGATTACTAAATCTACTGCATATACATTTGCAAAATTAAAAAAATAAAATATTTAGAGATAACTTTCTGAGTAAAATATTAGCTGCATCTGATAGCTTATAAAGAATATAAAATATTGCATGCTCAGTGGTGCATGCAAAACACTTTTCCATAATTTAAAATTTATAATATGAATGTTAAAAGTAAAGGTTGTATTTTAGAAAATGATAGAATACATGTAATAAGATGTCTTAGTGGTTCATGAATTTTATTATATTAGTGTTGGTTTTACCAAGTAGAATTTTAATTTTTGATACTGTGATTTCTTTTATTTATCCTTTAATATTTAAATAAAATTTAGGAAATTAATATATTAAACAATTATTCAAAATATGCTATTTTACTAATCAAAGTCTAGACTGTTGTGTACATTTAAAATGTAATATTTTTAAGTTGTAAATTTAGTAAGTATAGCAAAATGTCCAAGATTTTAACATTGGACAATGCATGGAGTAAGAAAAAAAAAAAAAACATATTCCTTCCTAACAGTCATTCCACCTACTACATTTTATCGTACATTTGGGTGGTATATTTATTATCCACTTTGGAGAAAGTTATGCAATGATTGCATTACATATCTGGAATGAAATTGTGTTAAATTATAAAATGTTTATAAAAAGGACACTATGCCATTGTATGCTTATTTATACACTAAATCCATTAATTCATTACTGTTTCTTTTCTAAATTACATCTAAAGTAAGAATAAATAATGTGAAAAAATTGAAAGAAAAAATAATTTATCAATAAATAATATTTAATACATGTAATAAGCAAAATATTAGTTGAATTAATTATTTCCTTAAAAATTATGAATATATGTATATTATATATATGCATATGCATATATATGTATGTATATATATGTATATATATATATATATATATATATATAAAAATGATGAACTAACTAATCTCTTTGTAGCATCTCTTTCTAAATAACTTTAAAATTCAAAGTCAGTAGTTGTATTTTCCCTTTCCTACATTTTGCGTCCAAGGTAAGGATTTTTTTCCTTAGGCATACTCTACACTTGGAAGATAGTATTGGGATTATTTTAAAATAGTAGTGAATGAAAACCTGCCTTTAGAATAAACTTCTCTTATAAGTAGCATTGAGAATACAATTTACCTAGGAAAATTGCTAGTCACCTGCTAATAACTAGTTTTAATAGTCCAGAGTGAGTTATCCTCAAACTGAAGGTCTTATGATAATGATTTTGTTTTTTAAATTTTTATTCCATTTAGAAAAAAATTGTTTTTTAAAACTTATATTTCCTAAAATAGTTGGAGGTCTATAGGATTTATATATTCATAAGGTGATCTTGATATCAGTAGTAGAAATTATAAATAAGACTCTGTGATATCTCTGAAGATAAGTAATCCAAGAAATGAAAAAATTCAAATATACATTTGCTTTGCCACATAACTACTTCACTGCTGGTGGATACATGAAAGAGGAACCCATACTATTCTGGCTGATGCCCAGCTCCCCAGGAATTAGTGGGATATAGTGCTGGACATGACGTTACCTTGAGTACATGACAGTCAGCCCCTAACCAGGCTCTGATTCACAAGCCTAGGAGGTATTCGCTTTCGGTCCTTGGGTAAGATAAAAACTTGTGGTAATTGGGCCATTTTTGTCAAATGTCTCCACTATTCTTTCCTTTCCCAGTCTTGTTTGACCTTATTGGTGTTCTTGTTTTTAAAAATTAAAAAAAAAAAAAAAGTAAAATAAGCAGCTCAAAGCTGCTGTCAATCATCTTGAGAGTGTTTTAGTGTTTCAGTGTCCGAGTGTGTGTCTGACAGGGCCTAGGAGCAACTACATCAGAAAGGTACTTTTCTGTCTTTTTTTTTTTCCTTACAGAGTGGTAGGCAGAGTCTGGAGCTGGAGTTGGCTGTCATGTCCAAGTCTGTCTGCTTTTAAAATTTTGTTTGTTTGTTTTAAATTGCAAGGGTAAGATGAACTGCAGTGCAAGATGGGCTGTTTTGATATAGTACAATCATGATACCACTTATTTTTCAATGTTAACATGAATAATTTTATTTTTTTCTTTCCATCTAAAGATGTGTTACCTTACTGCATCAGTAATCATATTAAAGATCTGACTGTAAAATAAATCAGCAAAAGGAGTCCATCTTTGCTTCATTCCATTTTACTCAAACCCTATTAAAAGTTATGTACTTTTTGATTATAGATTCAAAATAATTAAAAGTGAATGGTAATATATTTTATACATACATCCACAAATTTAATTTACATTTTAATAAAAAAGCCCACATTCTGATATATCTTCAACATTAAAAATGTAAATAATATGGTAAAATTATAATAGAATTTAATTCATAGAAGACCAAATTTTAAAGTTGCTAGGGTGTTATTTTATAACCTAAACGAATTAAAATTAATAATATTCAAAGGTAAAATCTAATTCCTAGATCCTATTTTTTTTATTTATACCATGGGCAGACAACTCCAGCCATATATTTTGATATATATATACATATATATGAAATGTGATACATATGTATAAAAATAAATTTGTAACAACTTGAGTACTTATTCTTACCCTAACTTACTTCATAAAGGCTAACCATAGTGATGGGAGATATTTGCTTATTCAATTATAATATAAGGTAGAAAATTATTTGCTACCTCATATTAAAATAAATACTGGGCTAAAGCCCCACATCATCTCTAAAGAATGTGGGTAATTAAAATTATTTTACTATTATACACCATTACTTTTTAAAGTGATGAAATAGACAAAATATTTGTGCTACTTGCACATGAAAAATGAAACTACAGGAAGGTTGTAAAAAAATGGATGTCAGCATATGTTAAGTCATTTCCTCTGAAATTCACAAAAATAATAACAATATGAAAATCTACACATTGGCTTATAAACTGGAAAGTTTTTCCCTCTCTCTTTTAATGCTAATTTACAAAGAATTTAACTCATTAATATTTTAACTACACCTTCTCAGGTAGAGCTAGAGTCTCCTGTCACTATATGTAAACATGAACATCCTAGAGAATTCTCTATTTTCTGAAATTAGCTTCTGCTCTCCCAATGGTTGTTGCTTGCTTACTAAAGCAATATATAAATCTGTGACATAAGCTTTTATTACACGGTGATTCCATTCTGCCACTGTGACCAAAGTATTTGATTGCTGATCAAATTCTCTGTATTCGTTTCACCTTTCCCCCAATCTCTGTTAGGTTCTGAGCTCATGCCCAAAGCGCTCTCCACCAGGATAGTGGGAGGCATTTGGTGGTTTTTCACACTTATCATCATTTCTTCGTATACTGCTAATTTAGCCGCCTTTCTGACAGTGGAACGCATGGAATCTCCTATTGACTCTGCTGATGATTTAGCTAAACAAACCAAGATAGAGTATGGAGCAGTAGAGGATGGTGCAACCATGACTTTTTTCAAGGTAAGTCCCACTGGCTATCTAAAATTTATATGTTAAATATTATTATTTATGCAGGATAATTGATAGCATATAACTCAAGGGGTAGAAAGTTGTACACTTCACCTGTGTCCACGAAAGTGAATCATTTTGATATGTGAATATTGCCAGGAGCTTTTGCTTTACAAGTAAGTATTCTACTCTTATTTCAAAGAGTATCTGCCCAAAGGAAACATCTTTTTTTCTCAACAAGGTTTTATCTTTTAATGAAAAAATAATATGTTTGTTGAAAATTAAATAGTTGTAGATTTGGATTCTACAAGGCTTGGTTAATCAGAAAAGAAGCCTTACATGTAAGATTGTTTCCCATGTATACATTTATTTCTGTCAAAATGAGGCAGGAGATGAGAACAAAAAGAAAAATCAGTTCTTATTGTCTGTACAGTTATTCATCTAGTATTCTGCAAGATAGGGTCTGGAAATAGGATACCCTATTGAATTCACTTTGGTTTCCAAAAGAACAGCCCTCTGGAACACTTACATGGGAATTATAATTTTGCACAATTCCTGGAATATAGAGCACCTTATTCTCTTTATTACTCCTCTCTTTCTACTCCTGTTTTCTTACCAATCCAAAGTAGATCAGATAGGGAGATTTTACTTTAAGGAGTATCAATTTATAATTCCTTTAATATTTTATAAAGTATTTTTCAGGCTTTTAGAGAGTGGGCAAAATTTTTAAACACTAAAATTTCCTTTCAGTGTTCCTATAAATGCAATAGGTAGTTCTATTGCACAGTAGAAGTAGTAGATTTTTTCTTAAATAATTGGTTCAAGCTATAAAATAAATTCCTTCATCAAGCATGCACCAAGTGCCTATTGAGTGCCAGAAACTGCACTACTGGTTAGGTATTCTACAAAAACTATGACCTCATTATCACTTTCAAGGAGATTGCAGTCAAGTTGATAACAGAAGAATAGGTCAACAATCAGAAAACAGGATTTTATGTGATTTAAAACAGCAATTTTGCAATATTATGCAATTTTCTTGGTAAAAATTCATGCAAAACTTTCAACTTTCTTTACAAAGTTCTGAAAGACACCAAATTTCCAAAGAATGTGATAGATTCTCTTAGCTCCTTAAAGTCTTAATTATTTTTCTGAATGAATTTCTCATATGGGTAGGTTAAAGACTGAATGCATACTTCATATTTAATTACCCATTCATTAATTCTTAATGAAATGCATTGAATAACTAAAATATGAGTAAAACAATTTTCTCAGAGTGGTATTATTTGACATTAAGGGTAATTGATCAATTTTTTTCAAATTAAATATATAGAATTATTAGAGATTTCCTTTCTAATAATACTGATTTTGAGATTTTTATTTTTATTTTAAGAAACTAGTTGATGAAATTCTTAAAAGCTCAATGTTAGTGTCAAAAAATTTTCAGGGAGTGAATACATGTTGCATTGAAATTATTACAGTATCCAAGTGCCTTTTGAAGTTGAATTTGAAAAATAACACAAATAAAGTACCTATCAGTGATTTGACACCAGAAATGTTTATATCAATTTCACAAATATTTCATGGCCTTAATTTCATTTTTATTTTAAGAAGACTCAAATATCTTATTTCAAAGCCTAATGTATTATTAGCAAAGTTCCCTTGGAAAAAAATAGTTCCAAAAAATAATTCTCTTTTTTCTCCTTATGTCATTTTTCTTTTTTAAGGTTATTTTCCTCCTTGTTTGTCTTTTCAATCTTTTGTTCTTTTTTCTTCTTTTTAGTTCAGCTGCTCTCTGCCGTGTCATTTTTTTCCTACCTTCACTTTTCCTTGCTACCGGCTTTTCTTCTTACTCTTTCATCTCCTGCACACAAGGGTGCCTCTAGCACCTGGAGAAAATTGACATGAAGCAACTTTCTGTTTCCAACAGCACAGACTTTCTTCAGAATTGAAGCCTTCTGGATTATACACTATTTACAATAAAAACCATACAGTGATAATTGCTAAGTTGACAATTACCTTATGTTGTTAACTATCACATGCTGAATTCTTACTGTTAAAATCAGAAAGAAAAAAAGCCCTGAGTCTTAGAGAACATTATATGTTGATTTTTCTTTAGTATTTTAGTGTGGTCCTAAAGATTCTCTTTCCAACTTTATGTTTTGGCTCGTTAAAATATATAACTATACTAACTATGGTATAAAAAAAAATTCTAGCACTCTAGGATTCAAATAAATGTATCCTTACTTTGAAATCCTACAGTGAACTAGAAACTATTCTGTACTATGTATTTATATTTTATACCACCCTTTCATTTTTTAATTAACAGCCATACATACAAACACTATAGGAAGCACCTTCAGGCATTGACTTTTAAAGGAATTTCCATTACGTTTCTACTAATTTAATAAGACCCTTAACTTATTGTTCTGGAAGGCTCAGTTCCCAAAAATTATTTTAAAACTAACAGCTATTTCAGTACAAGTAAGATTGGCTCAAGATATCTGGCCATAAAGCAGGTGAGCCCTCAGTATTACAAAGTCACAGGCAGAGTTACAATGTTGCTCTACCACAGCAAATAATTCTATTTCCAAAAACAGACTTGATTTTGTTCACTAACTCGTATGTATATTGTCTTTGAGAAGAGGTCTTCCTTCCTCTCTTCTATATCCATTGTGCTATCCACATATTCTCTCCAGGGATAAATATAAAGCCATAACTAAAAAAAGTAATAATTCAAAATCAAACTGCTTCTCCAGTTTTATCCAAGGAAACTAAATGAACTGGATGGCATCACTAGTGTGTTCTTGGTCATATTTAGATAAAAAAAAATAGATGAGAGATCAGGAGTTTCATTAAAAAGCATTAAAAGAGGAATCAAATCCTCCATTTTGGAAATCTAAGAATTTTGTGTACTGGAGTTAAAATCTCACTCCAGGCCTAAACAAAATGCTACCAAACAAGTGTATTCTTTTCTCCCTGAAGTATGAAAATTAGGAGAGTGAATCAATAGAAACCAGAAGATCAAAAATAACTCAGCAATAGCCTGTAGGTATTATGGACTCTCAGAAAAATCCCTATAATTTGAAGGAAGTCAAATGTTCTACAAAATGAAGCTGAATAACCTTTTTTTCTATGCATCCCATGACTCCATGGATTTAAATGTTCACAAATTCTGTCTAGGGTTGTTCTATCTGAAAATTTTGATTTTGCTACATGTTCTAATATAGTCTGTCCATCTAAGAAGAATGGTGGCAAAGGAGGCACTTTAAAAAAAAAAAAGAATATGGTAAATAAAATCCTGGCATATATTAAAAGGAAATGTAAGTGGCATCAAATTCCTAATGTAAATACTTTAGGTCTTCTAAAAAGACAGAGTCTACATTTCATTTTATTGTTCTATTATTTTTACAGTGCTGAGGATTGAACCCAGGGCCTTTCTAGGAGAAATCTATCTATTTCTCCTAGTTCAAACCACTGTCTCATCTCTCCAAGGTTACTGGAGTGATTTAAAGCTCTTTAAAAGGACTCCCTTCCATTTGCTTTAACTTGAGAGCTTAGCTCCTTAGCAGGTTTACAAAGCACAGGTCTGGCTTCTTACTCTCTATTCACTTTCCCTTACACTTGAAGTTCTAGCCAAACTGGTTTGTCTTTTCTGTTTTGCTGTATCCTGAACTCTCACACCTCCTTCTCCGACATTATGCTCATTTTTCATCACCACCCATCCTTTTCAATCTAATTAGTTAGGTTGTTTTTATTCTTGAGATATTTATTTATCCTTCCTATACTCCTAGAAAAATTTCCTAATACTTTTTAAACCAAAATCTACCCAGCCTGGGAAAAATGTTCATTTTTTTCCCCCTAAGTATTCTCTTTTTATTCTCAATTATCATTAAATTATCAATCCAAAATATATTTTCATATTCCCCACCCCCATCCCTGCCACCATGTTCCCATACTTCACTGCACAGCAAGAGGACAGGGATTGAATGAATCTGTATCATTCATTCTTGTATCTATAGCCCTTAGCACTGAATTTGCATATGTCATGGGCTTGTATTGCTTATCATTTGTCTCAATAATATTGCTAAATGATCAGCCAAAACCCCTTAATGATGTGTAATGGAAACCTTTAGTTAGCTTACAGGTAAGGTGGATATTGGGAGCCTAGTATATTGTCTACATTTTGAATAGGCTCAGTTTCTTTTACACTGGAGTCAAAGTCCTTTTTGCAGCAGTTTCTTTGGAAGCTTTATGGACTTTAAATGCATCCGATTGAGTGTGCTTATGATCAAAAAGCCATATCTTCAATTTCTTCTAAAGATGCTGTATGCCTCTCTTTATATTTAGTTATTGTTGCTTTGGAGTATAAATCCTTTATTAACAAGAGAAAGTCAGCCAGGTATGGTGGTGCAGGCTTGGGAGGCTGAGGCAGGAGGATCACAAGTTCAAAGACAGCCTCAGCAAAAACAAGGTGCTAAGCCACTCAGTAAGACCTTGTCTCTAAATAAAATCAAAAAAGAAAAGATAATAAAAGAAAAAAAAGTGTGTGTGTGTGGGGGGGGGGGGGGCGCTGGGTATGTGGCTCAGAGGTTGATTGCCCCTGAATTCAATCCCTGGTACTAAAAAAAAAAAAAAAAGGAATGTCTACAAGGCATTAAATTAAGGCTTAAGGCAACATATTTAATTTGATTCTTAACTAAGTTCAGAAGCTATGTTGAGTTGAGACAATATTAAGAAATTTCACTGGCTTGATACACTAAAGATTAAAAATACTTGCCAGGTGTGGTAGCACACATCTGTAATCTCAACAACTCAAGAGGCTGAGGCAGGAAGATCCCAAGTTCAATGCCATCCTCATCATCTTATCAAGGCACTAAGCAACTTAGTGAAACCCTATCTTAAAGACAAAAAGAGCTGGGGATGTGGCTCATTGGTTAAATGCCCCTGGGTTCAATCCCCACTGCAAAAAATAAAATAAATTAAATTAAATAAACACTTTTATTATCCAACCATACAAATTTTAGCACTTCTCTATTACCTCTAAGTTTTGCCTGCAAACTGGTTAGTTCATTTTTATTTCATTTTCCTCCATCTATTTGTAGTTGTAGTTGTTGTTGTTGTTATTAACATTTTTTCTCATTCTTGTACAACCTTATCATGTGTAGTTAAAGCTAAACAACTGATACATTAAACATTTTGTAATTTTCTTTGGCTATGTCTGACTAAAGCATTTTAGTCATTTCTATCTAATTTTAGTCATTTTCTATCTCAGATAACCATAAGATATACTTTTAAAATACCATCCTTCTGTGTATTCATGGACTTCCATTTTTCTGTCTTCTAATTATTTCCTTTTCATTTGTTCTATGTGCCATAAATCAATGCTACATACTTATATTTTCTTTATGAATGTACTTTATCCTTTTACCAAATTCTGTACGGTTATGTATGAGCAAAACAAATGTTGCCATAAATCAATTTCATTGATGGAAAGAAAACCTGTGACAGAGGGCTTCAGATAGAATGTATGCCATAGGTGTGACTGCTTACAAAGTGTTGTTCTCCATAGATGGGTAAAATGGTTTCTCTCTCTCTCTCTCTCTCTCTCTCTCTCTCTCTCTCTTTTTCCAAAATATGTAGCCTTCTATGACATACCCATTTTAACCCTCTGTTGAAAGGCAATTTATTTAAAAGTCTAGGCAATGGAGATAGGAATGCAAAAGGGTGAATTAATATTCCTGTCTGAGGCAAATAGTTTTATCTTTATCTTTGTTGTTATCTAACAACAAAAGTCTCTCTCTCTCTCTCTCTCTCTCTCTCTCTCTCTCTCTCTCTTCTCTCTCTCTCTCACACACACACACACACACACACACAATAAACAAACACACAATACACACACACACATCTTCCTCTTTAGGAAATCAAAGTACATTCTAAGTATCAGTTCATTAATCTTCATAACAGCACTTAAGAAAGGTAGGAAGCAATTATCATTATACTCATTTAACAGATGATGAAACTGGGCCATAGAGAGGTTAAGTGACTTATTAATTATGAAAGCAGTAGCCAGGGGCTCATAGTATCACAATAAAAGTAATAACCAAAGAGATCAAGGCACAGCCATCATTACTCAGAAGAGCTAAGTACATTAATCATTTTGGCGCACCCACATGACCTCAACTATTTGATCATATTAAGTTTCTAAACGTTTACATTAAGCCATTGATGCAGATAGAGCTACAACAAGTTCTTATAGTTTGTCACTTATTCTGATCTTATCAGTTCAATGATCTCCTGAAATTAAATTGAACTGGGGTGATAGGTTTTGAAGTCTGAATAGCTAGTGTGTCATGCCTGGAATGACTGTTTTGAAAGCTTTAGTGATCTTACTTCTTAAGTACTAGAAAAACATGTCATTTTTAAATTAAGCGATAGAATATAAAAACATGTGCTTAACAACTAGATTTATAAACACATACCATACACCTTGTTCATAATTCTTTATTGTTTAAAAATCATAAATTGTATGTTATTTTTTTAAAATAAAACCAAACGTTTATTTACACCAAAGAATTCCAACACTGGATCTTTCACATATGAAGGACAAAGTATTATATATATACACACAGCAAGGGGTGGCAGGGCTGTAACAACAGTTGATAGTGGCCCACGATTACAGGTCTACCATTTCTGTTTCACTGGAGATAGTGGCTCTGCTCCTGCCTTTTAGATACATTTATAAGACCGAGGAACAGGTCTTCTCATTGGATGGCATGTAAAGGAAGGGAGGGTAGGAGGAAAAGAAGGTAGAAAGCTTAAAATGAAACTCAGCGTGGCCTCACTGCCCATTAGTTCTCAGAGCTGCTATCATGAAACCTACATAGAAAATGTTCTTTTGAGAAAAGCAGTAAACTATGCCCAGTTACCAAGTGACTTCAACATGGCCAAGTCAAAGAAAATGAAAAGATTTTTGCCTTCTCCCTCCTACCAGCTATTGAGCACAGCATGTTGGGAGGTGAAAGGGGAAAAGATCAAGGTAGGAAGGAGCCTGGGAGGGAAGGTATCACAATTTTAAACTAAACTAAAACTAAAATTATAAGTGAGCTGGATTTAGGGTTAGGTCAGTAAGACATGATTCATACTAAACAGAAGTTTTTAGGATCTGTCTGCACTTTGTGTAGATTTTCAACATCTCAACATAAGTAAGACACGCTTCCACTAGAGTCGCCAGGATAACCCCACTGAAGCACTTCTGGAGTAAAGTCATGTAAGTGACCAGCAGTACACTGCTCTTAGATTGGGTCCGACCTGCCTCTCTTCCTTCCTGCCTCCTGAGAAGTTACGTTTTTGTAATCTCTGGAGAAGAGCGTGAGATACAACCCCCCAAAGTGTAGGAAGCAACAGTGGGAATGGGAAGAAATCTCTGCCCAAATGCAGCAGCTGGGATTGAGGCTGGTTTATCTTTGTTCTTTAGTCATGAGGAACTGAATTTGGAAAGGGAGAAAAAAAATCTGTCCGTGAAATATTCCACCTGCAGGTAATTTTTCAGGGAATCCCCTGAGTTATGAAAAGTTCGAGTTAAAAACAAAAAAGAAAAAAAAGTAAAAGAAAAAAGAAAAAAAAAAAGAAAAAGAAAATCAGCCTATTATAATTTTTTTTTTTTATGACTGAACTACTATAAATCCACCGTTCAGACACGGTGCTTCTGAAGTGTTCACCCCTCCCCGCCAGGCGCAAGCTGCATCAAGGAGAAGGTGGACTTCCCCACCTCTGCTCAGGCATCAGGAGACAGATGGGGCCATTACTGCTGAGCACCAGCGGCAGCTGGAACAGGCATCCCCAGGGGGTTGGCAGCAGCAATCACTGGTGAGCCTGCCAGAGGTCCAAGGGGCGATGGGGTTGGCACTGAAGAAATCCCTGACATCATATTGGCGCTGCTGACAGGTGTACTGCCCCCTGGCATGTTAGATGAACCCATTCGAGCCTGGTCCTTTACGACAGTGTAGAAATAGGGATGTTCCATGGCCTCTCTTGCAGTGAGCCGTGACTGGTGGTCATACCGCAGCAGCTTGTCCAAAAAATCCAAGGCCTCAGGGCTGACAAGGTGCTGGTTTTCACTATGTACAAAGCGTTCCCATCGCTTACGAGAGTGCCCAAGATATCATTGAAACGTGGATCTAATTCAATGTTGTATTTGTCAATATAGTCATATAAATCTTCTGTCCCCAGAACCTTGGCTATCCTCACCAACTGATCATAATTATCATGTCCATGGAAAAATGGCTCCTTCCGGAAGATCATACTTGCCAGCATACAACCCAAGCTCCACATATCCAAACTATAATCGTACATCTGATAGTCTACAAGTAGCTCGGGACCTTTGAAGTATCGGGAAGCAACTCTGACATTATATTCTTGGCCAGGATGGTAAAACTCAGCTAAACCCCAGTCTATTAGCCGTAGCTTTCTGTGCTCATGATCAATCATGACATTATGGGGCTTCACATCTCTATGCATAATTCCCATGCTGTGACAATAATCCAGGGCCTTCAGAATCTCATACATGTAAAATCGAATATCATAGTCTGTTAACGTCTGGTACAATTGCTTGAAGTCTGTGTTGTTTACCTGTTCAAAAACCAGGGCAGGGGTTCGTGACACAGGGTCTTTTACAATGTCTGCCAGTGTGATGATGTTGGGACCGCCTCTCAAATTCTCCAAAATCTTTATTTCTCGCTTAATTTTCTTCTTTTTTACTGGCTTGAGAATTTTAACAACAACTTTTTCATTATTTGTGATGTTGATGGCTTCGAATACTTCACTGTATTTACCCCGGCCTAACTTTCTAACCAGCTGATAGTCATCTTGATTTCCCCATTCCACCACATGTGACTCATAATCCCAGTACTCTCGGGGTCTGTGTGTATTGACATCTGTGTAAACTCTGGCCCTGCTTGGCACGGGTCCTGACATGTCAGACAGGTTGGCGGACAAAGCTGAACTTGAGGCTTGAAGATCTGGCAGTCACTGTGTGCAGAGATGGCTGGGGGTAAGACCTTGTTTCAGACCTGTTTTCTTCAAACTGTGGTGGAAGCGGCAGCGGGAGCGGCCGCTCTCCCCTCTCCTCACACAGACAATATGGCGGCGGCGGAGGAGGAGACACACGGCTCGGCCGCCAGCCTCAGGGACCAGAGCGAGCTGTATGTTATTTTTAATACCAAAAGAGCAGTGGTGTTAATACATGAATAGGATATTGTACATTTACTGTAAAAGATTCAATAATTACTTGCTAGCACATGGATAGAAATTGGCTTACATCTTTTTCGGTGTTCACATATTTGCTAGTACTCTACAAGCCCTAATCACCTCCTACCATTATGCAATATACTACAATTTTTGTGATATTTCATTAAGTCCAGGGATGATTTCTCAGTACCTGCTCACAAAAGATTAGTTCTGCTTATTATTAATTTGCCACATAATTTTGTTTCAGGTCATTTTTACTTATTTGAAGTCTGTTTAAGTTTAGTTAATGACATTCTGTTTTCTTCCCAGTATTTTTGGAAAAAGAGTTTTCTAATTTCAGTACTAGTGATATTGTCTCTGTTCCATGGAAACTAATTTAAAATGAAATATTAACAAGATGGTTGGTATATTCACATCAAAGACTCATATATAAAGTCTTTGACATATTATTAGATCTTACCTCCCTAGGTATGTATTATAAACTAGACCATTGCCTAGTGATGTTAAAGGTACTGTTTTATCAGTTAAGTAACTTTAACTTATGGGGACAATGTCTTTACACTAAATTGTAGAAAATGTTGCTGGGCTACAACCAGTAAGGCTGGATAGCATGTATGTCTCATGGAAATACAATCCTTTCCATGGCAGGCAATTATATCACTGTGATAAATAAGAAGTATTGATTTTTTTTTCACTTTGAATTCCTTTTTCTGAAGGAAAAAAGTTAATATTATGACATTAGGGTATTTTTTAAATGTCTTTAAGATATTCATTTATGAGCCAGGTGAGATGGTGCATGCCTTTAGATCCCAGAGACTTGGGAAGCTGAGACAGGAGGATGGCAAATTTAAGGCCAAGTTCAGCAACCTCGTGAGGCCCTAAGCAACTTAGTCTATATCTCAACATAAACCATAAAAAGAGTTAGGGTTGTAGCTCAAGGACAAAGTGTCCCTGGGCTCAATCTCCAGTACTAAAAAAAGAAAGGAAAAAAATCCTTTCATGAATAATTACTAGAGCTATAATGTATAGCACAGCAACTATAGTGAATAATAATGAATAGTGTATCTGGATGTTACTGTAAGAATAAATCTTAAGTGTTCTCAACATAGATGTAGGCAAAAATAAAATATTTATGTCAGGTAATGGACATGCTAATTAGTTTGAGGAAGTCATTAACAAGATGCACCATGTTGTATGATTTAAATATATACAATTTTTCTTTGCCAATCATATGAATACCTTTGGGGAAATTAATTAGTTCATAAGATAAATTACAAAATATTGATTTATTTATGTCAATAATTATCAGTCTGGGTATATTTGAGACCATTAGAGTCACTTATGAAGTTTTCAGAAAATCCTAAGCCTAAGCCTCTGAGTTTGTAAAAAACAACAAAACAAGACAACAAACAACAAACTTGCTTTGCTTATACTATTGTGCAGGCAGAGTTAAGAAGAAATTGAAATGATCCCTTCATTTATTGACACCAATAGTTAATAAATGATTGTATCTACTTTCATTTCTTTCATATTAGGGTGACTCTTCTTGCTTTTTGAAACCCAGACCCCATGATAATTAGTGTAAGGCATGAAACAATGGTAAATCTTCTGACTGAATTTTTAAATTAAACAAGTTATTTACCAGAATTTTGTTTACATATTTTTTCAATGTAGATTTGCTGAAAATAAATAATCTAACTACATGCTCATTTCTGAATCTTTTCCTGGAGCCCTCCAAAAGATAAGCAGAATTGTCATATTATAGGGTCACAAAACAAGTTAGTTCTTTATTCTTCAATGTTGTGTGGTGGAATAAATCCTGACTTTTATTTGTATCATTGGGTGAAACTATATTTTTAAAAATATATGTTCCAAAGAACCTGGAGAGTCAATGCTCTTGTTTCATTTGTACACCTTCATTATATAAATTATATAATGATATAATGATATAATTATATAATTATATAATATAATTATATAATTCTATCATAAAGTGGATGGGGGGGAATTAGGGGAGAGTCCTTTAGGGAGCAGAGAAGAGTCTTAGAAGGGTTACACCTGTGATTGGTGTTTACAGAGTGGAGGGTAGATTAAGACATGTTTCTTATTTTACATTAGAAAGGTTAACTGACATTAAAGTTGATACTTAATTGAGACAAAAGAACTGATATTAATTAGCCTTTTCTGTGGATTTATAGTAAATTGGATTCTGAGCAAGAGCTTTGGGATTGGGGCTCACCTAGTTTTCTTATTGTACTACCTTGTAATTTGGTGAACTACTTCCACTTCTCTCCCTGTTGTAAAAGAACATATCACCCCTTTTAACTGATGAAGGTAAATTACCACACAATTCTAATTTATATCTTACTTTGTGTTATTTGATAATTTCTCAGTATCTCTTGGCAGATCTGAATAAAATGTGCCTCAAACATGAAATTCTGCTTTAACTTGGGTGTTGGAAATTCTGATATAGTTAGGCTTCCAAGCCAAAAGCTTCTCTTGCCAACTTGCTTATCACAAATTGAAAAATAACTATGGATATTTAAAATTCATAGAAAATTTATTTTTAATTTTTTTACATATTGAAATCTACAGATATTTGTATATTTATTTTCCCACATATTTAAATGAATGAAACAAAACTTAAAAACTTTGTTTGATTTAAGGCAAATATATGGGATCAGTTCAGAATAGATTAATACTGTTACCATAATTTTCATCTATACTTGATAATGCTTTTCATTTTCCATGAGATAAAAATCTCACATAATTACCCAGTGAAGATTTTTTTTAGCCATGTAATTTTTCTAAGTCTCCCAAGTAATTTTTTCTTTATGAATGATATTGAGAAATTGATTGTGGGTTGATGCATTACTGTTAGCATTAAATTATAATATCTTGCTTAAAAAATAAAACTGATATTTTAAAATTGTTATAATTTTATTTGTGTCTAATATGGGTTTTGATATAAACTAGTTCCTTTTGAAATGAACATTTAAACTAATTCTTTATTATACATTTGTTTTATTTGCATAAAAGGGAGTTATTTTTACCCAAGAAGTTTGTCTCCCTCCCCATTTTCTCATCTAACACACAATTTATTGTATGTGAGACCTGATCCTATGTTTATTACAGGGATTTGCATAAGGCCTACAGGAAACCAACACCATTTTACTATGTTCCCATTGCAAGAAATAAAATGGTGCCTTTGAGTAAAGCTGCTTCATCAGACACTAGTTTAGCATGCCAAGTTACAGCCATCAATGGTGAAACAGCAGATGTGAAGGCTAGTTGGCATCAAAGCATATGAGTCAAAGACTTTCCTATGGGAAAGAAAGTGCTTCATTACACTTTATCTATAGTGAGAACATTGGTTCTATCAAGCTGTCTGAAAATTAGAATATGATGGGTTTTATTGCCCTAGCTCTGCCAGAGTGAATTCAATAGTTAAAAAGAAAGTGATAACACCATTTGGGGGAATTATAAGAAGTGATTAGAGTTTTAGTGTATTTAAACTTGGAAGAAGCAGCAACTTGTATCTTTAAAAGTACCTTCTCTAAAATATTGGAGGGACAGAAGTTTAATCCCTTTCTAATTGTTACATTTGCAGTGTGTATTAATGCAACTTTGGGGCACTTTAATCAAAGAAAAAAGTTGTGTTTGACTGAGGTGTAAAATATGAGAAACAATGTTTTAATTGCCTTGGAAAGCAAGTGCACCAGGCTGCTGACATCCCGGATACACGGGGATACACCATTGTTCTCTCCCTCCCTTGTCCTCCCTCCTCCAATCTGTTTAAGGACCACTCCTGTTTGTCAGGTCAAAAAGGCAGCTCAAACACCATGTCACACCTCATCAATCTTGGAAGAGAGTGCCCCACAGGGAGTGAGAAAACTGGAAAGTCAGTTAATATTGTGATGTTGAGCGGGCATGTCAAGTGCTGGATAATGGATAATAGTTGTCACTGTATGTGTTTGTAGACACTGGTAAGGCAACATTTTTGAAAGAAAAGTCAAGGACATATTTTGAATGAAAAGAATAAGCTGAGGATATATTATCCAAATTTTGGCATTTACCAAATTTTAATGTTTATTTCTTAGATAAAAATATCTAAAATGAAAAATATGTTTCCTCTATATAAACTGTTGAATTAAAAGCATCATTTAGCATTTTTAAAATAAACATTCAAAGAACCCACTCTCTGATTTGATAAAGCTTTGAGAAAATTATATTTATTGGCATTGTGACTGTGAAAGATCTTTCAGTTATGCTGATTTTTTTTTCTTTTTTTGAGAAAGTGTTCCAACTTTTAGAGCACCAGAAAAGACACAGTTTTGTTGTTGTTGTTGTTGTTTTTTCTTCAGGTAGTTCATTGACTGGAAGAATAATATACCAAAACTTGTATCTGATTCATGTCTGTGGCAGTTCATGTTCCTGCTTTTTTCATGCTTCATGCTTTCTTTTGGGGAGGAAGCTGCTATTTGTTGAGATGCATATTAGAATAATTAGCTTCTTGGGGCAACTGAATTTTCTTTTGTTCATTTGTTTCCCTATTCCTTTGCAAACCCCAAACTAGCAGAAACAACATTTCATTCTCCATTATCAAGAGTTGATTGAATCCAGTTTTCTCTTTCCTTGTAAGATGAAACACAAGGAGGCTTACTATTTTTTTTTGCTGCTGCCATCTTTGATGATCAGGCTCTTATTTAAAGACAGTACAGTATTGATTTTCCCTTTGGGAGAAGCAAGCTGTAAAGTCATGCACCCTAGGAATGCTCAGTGATCTTAGCAGCTCATCATGTATATTCACAAGGAACAAACAGGGTTCATACATCATGTCTGTTTTTATATGCTTCCTTTCAATCTCAGATAGATGATAAAAGGGAAGAAATAAATTTTAGAGTTATTTAGTAGATGTTGGTATGTGAAAACTGAATTAATTCCTT